TATGCAGGGCATGCAAGCGAGCAAACAAGAGCAAACAAACAAGTGAAATTAAGAATAAAATTGAAATTGTACAATATAATATTGTGGTGGTTCATCTTATAATTCAGTCTAGAGAATGCACCAGACAGCATCTACAGTAAGACCTGGAAAAATGTAAATGTTCTAGGGCGAGGCCCCCCAAACCCTTCGTGCCATTTCGTCCCCGCGCATTTTTCAGGGCAATCTCTATTGGGCTCAGGGCCATCTGTAAATTAGCTTAGATGGCCCTTTGGGCCATCTAAGCTAATTTAATGTCATGCACTGATGTAGTTAATGTCATGCACTGATGTAGTTAACTCCGTGTGTTGCTGCTAGCATACATTATACCCGACGTGGAACCGTTACTCGTGGATGGGGCTACAGAGCTACTAGAAAGAGAGTCGAAAACAGTGCATTTCTCCGTCTGAATGTGGTGCACTTTTGCTAAATGTTTAGACAAATTGCTCGTGTTACCGCCTTACATGCTAAACTCTTATCGCACTTTTGGCAACGAGCATTGTCCACATTGAGACGGGTAAAGTTTAACCACACCTCATAGCGCGTTCTCTCCGCCATCTCTGCATGTTGCAGCTGTGTGTGTGTGTGTGTGTAAACTGCCCCGCCCCCTCGCAAGCAGGCAAGAGAGATCTCTCGTCTGGATTGAATATCAGAAACGGAGTTGGCAACACTTAAACTGCAATACAATGTTTGTGTAGCAATAATACATATGACATATTTTTTACATGTCTCCAGTACCGATAAAAAGACAGATAACGTCGGAGCTTAACGGTACCACGGTCTTTAATAATTCAGCCCCGGGGCCCGTTTAATACCGGGGCTCAGTAACCATCCCTAGCTGTGCAAGTGACACTTTACTCGTCTTTTTCTCGTTATTTTTTTCAAACGCTGCGCCTCCCCTGAAGTTCACACTTTGAAAACCGCTGGGCTAGACAATCTCTGTGGTCAGAAACCTGGAGGACTGAAATATGTTATCGTTGAAGGGTAGATACAATGTTCAACTACAGTAAAAGAGCCAAGAGTGATTAATAAAACAAAAGCAATGCTTCGGCCATATGGTGAACCACGATCATCCATAAAAGCCTTAATGCAAATGAAAGTTCAGGGTTCACTTGTCCCAGTGTTATGAGACCACCTATAGTGGAAATCCCCTGAGAAATCCAGGCGGTGAAATCCTAAATGCGAATCATTAAAGGGTTATAGAAAGCATCCGCTGAGCTACCTTTCAGTTGAGACACCACGTTGGTCAGGTAGTTCTTCAGTTTGGGATCAGTGGTCAGATGAAGGCTCATGTCATAGTGGGTGATCCTGCTGAATGTCTCTGGAGGATAAATGCCCCTCTGGTACAGGATGCTGTTGATGCCAAATGCTGTGGGGGAGAGACAATCAAAATGTCATCGTACGTTATATTGTTCCTCATTTAGAGGTGTGGGCTGATCTAGCTTTGCTTGCATGTAAGCTCCCTGGTGCCAATAACAAAAAAAAGCAATTCATATTCTGGGAAAATACAGTAATGACAAAGGTAAGACAAATATGAAAACTATAGCTATTTGATATTTTTAAATGATATTTCAAATGTTTCTATAACAGTATTCCCATTTTGTGTAAGGACACGTTCATGTTTTAAGCATTTTGGCATGGACTATATGTCATATATATGTCCTCCAATTCTAGAATGGTCATGTAACGTTAGAAATGCTGCCATACTGAAAAGCAAAAGATACTTAGCGACCATCGTTCATTTCCAGAAACGTTAGAGATCTAATGACTTCGGCACAACGTACATAAAACAAAACAAAATGTAGTTATTCTAATTTGATCTGTTGAGCGGCTTTTGGTGCACTGGAAAGGTTCACCAGGAAAGTCCAGGTGGGCGGTGCATTTATACACTTCATGGATGTATAATGAGAACGGTACACTTACGTAGGAACACGTTATAGCCTAAAGTATAGTACAAAAACAAAATACAAGTCGAGTTTGGTTTATTGTTGCGTGCTCAAATATAAAGTAAAGCGTAATCTACCAAAACATTTCAGATAATGGAGCAATGCTGAGCGTTCCAAACTAACAATACACAGGCCTGTTAGCAAATTAGCACAGCATGTCTGTCGAGAGCGCTCGCCTCGAAGCGAGCTAAAAACAACGTTTTTAAATAAATACTTACAGAAGAAATCGGCCACAAGCTCAGCGCTTCCCTTCAGTGTAATTCCGCCCAACGTGCTCGTCATTTTCTTACTCGTTTTGAGTATTCTAGACAATTAACCTTTGTTGTTTTTATTCGGTCTGAGCTTCAACTACCCGCCTTTCAGTTTGAAATGTGTCGGCTCAGTACGCTTGCGCATGCGCGAGAGATTGCGGGTCATAGTTGATCACGTGTCAAATAACGCTTACATGTTTCTAGCACCGGAGGGCAGCAGTTCCTAATAATACCTATGCTCTGTTTTCTGAAATGTGGGTGTCAATTTTATTTAAAAAAAATGTAGACAGCGTTTTTTAGCTTTATCATTATCATGACATCTGTAATTAAGTGTAAATGTAAATGTACATTTTGTATTATTTGACTTTAACTTTAACTATATATTTATTTGTTGTTCCTTTCTTCTCTTTTCTTTTCTCTTCACTATTATCTGTAAAGTAGGGTGACCAGACGTCCCCGTTTTCCGGGGACAGTCCCCGTTTGTATTGGCCTGTCCCCGGTTGAAACTGTCCCCGGAAATGTCCCCGTTTTTGAATACGTTAAAAACACATAGCAAGGTGAAATACAACGTTTCATATCAGGAAACACTGGGTCAACAGACTGTGGTCAAGCCAGCCCCCATTTCGGAAAACACAGTCAAGCCAGCCCGCACGTTGTATTGCGGTGCGCAAATAGATAGCCTAGATAGAGGCCTGTAAAAACTGCCTTCAAAATAAAAGCGTTTACTCGGTCAATAACAAATATACCTAAAAAACACACCAAACATATTCATATATACTGGGGCTTAAATTAAGAAATATGTACTATATAATGTGAACAACAATAATTTAAAAGAAACTACGTATAACTACCATATTATAACTGAGTGAATGTAAAATGTAAGTACACAGTTATGAAGACATATCTGACATTTCCACTGAGTGACTAATTGTGTGATACCATCTCACAACACTCCTAAAATAACATTACTTTCTGAAGCACAATTTAAAATGTATGCTGTTTAAAATCTCAAATGAGATCTATTGTCCATCTATACTTTGATTATGGACGGTTTCCATTAAATAATAATCAAAGAGTCATTCGAAGTCAATCAAATACTTATTTCACTTCAGGGTGATAGCAGGAGACCCCATCTAGTCAATCAGAGAAAATCAGGACAATCTGATGTAGGATTTCAAAATAAAATACTTTTAAAATCTCATATATGGGCTATCGTCCTTCTGTTTTTATACAAGAATAAATAAAAAACTGTCCAGTATCACAGACTTATTTCCCTTCAGGGTGATAGCAGGACACCCCATCTAGTCACTCAGAGAGAATCAGGACAATCTGATGTAGAGTTTCA